AAATTGGATTTGTGTTCAACCCATACGACCCTTGTGTGGCCAACCGGATGATCGAAGGATACCAACAAACAATTCGATTCCATGTTGACGATTTTTAAAATGTCAAGCCACAGAATGAATGTGGTGAATGACCGGACTTTTGAATGGTTCAATGGAAGGTATGAAACCTATGGAGCCGTCAAGGCAACCCGTGGTCCCAACCATGACTACTTGGGGATGATGGTGGACTTTTCCGATCCAAGCAAGGTAGTCATTGACATGATTGACTATTTTAAGAAGATGATCTTGGAGTTCCCGGTGGACTTGGAGCAAATGAAGAAGGTGTTCAGCGTGGCACCTGCCGATTTATTTAGTTCTGGTGATGGAGCTTCTTTGGACGACAAGACCAGAAAAATCTATCACACCAACGCAGCCAAGCTGGTGTTCGCGCGTGCATGAGAGCAAGACCAGATGTCCAAACACTGACAATTGTTCTCTGTACACGTGTGAGGAATCCCACAGTTTATGACTGGGGCAAGTTGATCCATGGATTGAAGTTCCTGAACCAACAGTGGAGGACAAAGTTGATACTCCATGTTGATGATATCCGTGTCATCACTTGGTGGGTGGAATGCAATCATTTGCAGTCCATCACTGATTACCGTTCCCATACAGGAGGAGTATGTCCTTTGGAAGTGAGCGGTGCTTTCTTATCCGCGAAACAGAAGCTCAACTCAAGAAGCAGCACTGAAGCGGAGCTGATTTGTGCAGACGACGTCATGTCTCCAATGTTGTGGGCCAAGTTGTTCTCTTGAAAGCAGGGGATCGTTGTGAAAGACAACATCTCATGCAGGACAACAAAAGCACGATCATCCTTGCAGAGAATGGCAAGGCAGTTCGGGCAAAAGGACTCGGGCCATCAACATTCGTTTCCTTTTCATTCAGATCAGATTGGAAAAGGAAACCTCAGAGTTGTGTACTGCCCACACCTTGGAGATGCGTGAGATTTTTTCACGAAGCCCCTTCGGGCAAAGCTCTTCATGAGCACAGGGCTTTCATACTGGGGCATCACCCCTTGTTTGATTTCTAAATTATTTATTCGTTCCACGGTAGCCACTTAGGCACCGTGCAGGAGTGTGTGGAGGAAAATAACCTGACAACTCTTTACTATGACTCGTGTATTAATCATTAGTCCGGTTCGCATGCAAATTCATCATGCAAGGAACAAGGGAGTTTTAGGTCTAAAGTGTTACGGGGGTCCTTATATCCAATTCAATCACAAGAATTGCTATGCACCACCAGAAAATCTTCACTTTTGCTTTTCAGCTTAATCTAAACCAAATTACTCCCCAATAAGCTGCAGTATTACTAGCAAACAACACTGACACTGTGTGAGGCTGGAACTATCAAAATTGACCAGAAGATTGTTGACTTAGGACTTCAAAAGTAGTCTTTGAAATCAATACCAAATCCAATGAATCCAACTGTATCTGTAGCACTGATTGTTGTAATTCGAAGAGATCCTTTTCTCGTCAAGGAGGTCTCTTCTTCCCTTAAGAACTGCCTGCAAATCTATGCGACTGTTAATCCAACAAGTTTCAATAAGTAGCTCAGTTCCAGTACTGAAGTAGTGGACTGGGTCTCGCTGAAACCCTTCCTCAGGGACAGCGGTAGTCAGGCAGTTCAGGGAGCTTGTCGTGCCTCAGGAGTGTTCCAACACCTCCAGTAGGACAAACCAAGGACTTGGCCCGTCAGTCAGACAGGAGGCCAGCAGAGCTCTCTGCTGGCCCTTTGGGCCAGCTCTCCTCAGAGCTGGGAGCCTTCGTTATTCAATCTGCAGTGGCAGTCTGGGAACAGTACTATCTGCTACCTCCTACTGCTTCTGCCCGGCTCAACAGGATGGTAATCAACTGCTGCGGTATCAAAGGGGCTACAAGCTAATCAGGATCCGTCTCAATCTTTCGTACTATTTTCTTAACTATGGTGGAAAGGACGATCCTTTCTTGCTGCTTTGGCTGGAGATAAGCCAGCTGTGGGTGCTGGAGCTGTAGGCCAGCATAGCTGTTGGAGCTATCTCTGACGGGATCCAGGACTCTCGCTCTTAAAAGTTATCGCTCCCCACGAGTGCGTATGGATCCGCTCTCATGGGAATGCCACGATATACGATAAGTTACTAACTAACTACAATACATACTCTCCCCATGAACGGAACATTCATGGGCACTCGATCGCTGCTAGTGGAACACATGTGAGATTGGAGATCTCACAAGTGGAGGACTTGCATGGTTGGTCGTTGCTGGACCAAAGGTAGGCGCAAAGGGATTGGTGCTCATCAGCATGGCCAGACTCGTAGGTGTCGGCGGTGCTGGTTGCTATCATAGCTGTTGTTTGTTTTCTTCATATGTAGACAAATATTCGTGGCTTTGCCACAGGCCGAATTCAGCGGTGGCAAGCTCTCAGTGGAGCGGCCTTCTTGCCCCGCAATCATGTCCCTTGACGGATGGGATCGATGGGCTGTACCAGACAGGGACGTAGTCTAGTGACGGGATCCAGAGCTCTCGCTCCTAAAAGTTATCGATTCCAGGCCATTGATACTACAGCCCCCGCCCCGTCAAACCCTTCTTTTATTTGTGAAGATGATTTGGATTCTGTAGCCCTTTGGATCCTGTAACTCTGTTTTTCCTATCCCCCCGCTCCATCTCCATTCTACCCCAAAAGTCCTAGAAAACTAGGTATTTACCCCACTATTGACCCTTAAATATTACCCAACCTACGATTCTTCTACAAATAGTAGTAAAATTCCCATAGAACCCTCTATTTTTATCCCCCAACCCCCCTCAACTAATCTGTTTTTGCAACGGTTTTATAGATGTGTGAATGAAAGCATGACTCTCTTGGGCATTCTTTCATTCCCAGTTCCTTGTGGGAGTTGAACCTGACAGAATGTTCTTCAAACTCAACAGGTTCCACGTCATCACTGTGACTCATGCTTTTGAAACATGCTGGTGTTGGTGGGACTGAGTCGATTTTATTCGAATAAGTTCGAATTCAATTTGATTTAGAGTGTGAGTTAATGTCTTCTTCGAGATCATAATAGGGTTCTCGTTTTAGAGTCTGGGTTAATGAGACAGTTAGTGGGGGTTCTCGTTTTGCAGAAGAGACGTTAGGGCTTAGGTCCAAAGTGTGCCGTGGCATTAAATGTAGATGATGTCATGGCAGCGTTGAGATTTCAAACAAAAAAACTGCTACTGGTTTCGTCACGCCTGCCTGGTATCCATCTCTAAGTAATTGTCAAGCTGCAAACGATAATTGCTCCAGAAAATCATTCTGCCAAACAATGAATCGACTCTGCGAGCCATTCTGTGCAGTTTTCAGGTGCTTTTGGCAGAAAAAAAGTCATCTGCCAGAGAAAAACACCCTCCCCAGAAGAAAAAAAAACACCTCCCGGCAGAAAAAGCCATGCCGGCTTTCGGAACTGCAGAGTTTGAGGGCTTCTGCAGAGTGCACGCCAGCCTGCTTCAGGAAAAAAGTGTTTTCTGCGGACCCAAAAAGGGCGTTTCTGCAGAGTTTTTCATTCCCATTGCTGGTACCCCAACGATTCCCTGGCGTCCGATTGGGATGTCCTCCAACAGATTGAGCAGACATTCAGGGATGCAAATCCGGGGCATTTATTGCCCTGGGTTCTTCGGATTTCCTGGGTCTAAAATAATCTTGAGTTGCTTTCTTCAATCTCCTTGCTTCTGTTATACACATAGTGCCGCATAGCTAGACTACAAATCTAGCTAGTAGAGTTCGGGTTCTATACTTCGACACCTTTCTGCACTACAGGTTGTTTATTGCACCACGTTCCGTCAATTGTCAAAGCCTTGGACTGACACTTCTTTGAAGCTGGGTTTTGCAGCCTAAATCACAAGGCAAAAAGCAAGGTGCTACTTTGGACACTGCATGCTCCCACAAAATTGCAACCTTGTGTCCTCAAAACTAGAACCATTTTCTCGCGCAGTGAACCATCCATATCACCAATCCAAAGAAGACAATGACAAGAGCATGAATTAAGAGGCCACCTGTACTTTCCAAGCTCTCATCAAACTCAACCTCTTTGTCAATGCCCCCTTCACTGCCATGTTCAGATGTGTCTGTAGTCTTTTCTTGACTAATCTCTGATGCACTATCCTGACTGGAAGACGTGGGCTGCATATCCACACTGTATTCAGACGCCACAATACTGATGCATAGCTCAGTGTTGTGAACTCTCCCTAGAAGGTCATCGACATCTAGGCCGTCTTCAGCATTCAATACACGAAACCTGTCAATATTCTGCATCGTTGTAAACTCAAAACAAACTTCAATAGGAAGGTGGCTCTTCGAGAAGGGACCAACAAATAGCTGGTTGCCGAGGTTGCCTGCCCCTCCACCCAAGATCAAACTTTCACTTAAACTGCTTCTCTCAGAAAAGCCATTTGTGGATGCAAGAGCAGAATCGCAGAAAACATGGACAAGGGATTCATCAGATGGTTTCTGTTGGTGTGAACCCAACATGAAGACTACAAAGACCCCATCATATTCATCATCCAACAACATCAAGGTCAATTCTCTGGCAGATGGCATTTCTTCACCTTCCCAAACACAGGGACCAGACAGGTCGGTGCATTCAAGGAAACCAGAGATGTCTGGTGACAAAGCTGACTTTTTGGGATAGATACAGGGAATTGTGGGATTCCCACAGTACAAACATCCACGAATTTCAGAAACATCATTCCTGTTCTTCAGATGACGAGTCTCCTGAGGCATCTCAGTTGGAATTGGTGTGGGTTGGTCAGTGGGCTCTTTAGACGGCTGGTCAGTTGGTTGCTTGCTTGGTTGGTCCGTTGGTTGTGGAGTGGGTTCTCCTGTCGGTGGATTGGTTGGTTGCTCAGTTGGATGATGGGTGGGTTGCCCAGTTGGATGATTTGTGGGCTGCTGAGTAGGTTGTGGGGTAGGATGGACACTTGGAGCACTTGTTGGATGGTCGGTGGGCTGGTTGGTAGGTTCCGGTGTTGGAGCCATTGTTGGTAACATGGTTGAAGGAATAGCCGTTGTAGGCTCAACAGTTGTGGGACTGGAGCTTGTCGGGTTATCTGTTACAGGTAATTCACTGGGATTAAAGGAGGGAACATTGCTTGGTAAAAACGACGGTATACCGCTTGGTAACACCGATGGAGCATCTGTTGTTGGATTGGTGGAAGTAGGAGCACTCGTCGTGGGATTAGCTGAAGGGGTCGAGGTCGTGGGGCTTCCTGTTGAAGGAGTCAACGTTGTGGGGCTGAGAGTGGTGGGAGCTGTGCTGGGTTCCTCCACAGGCACAGAGGGAGCCAAAGTTGTTGGGATTGCAGTACTAGGTGCCAAGCTGGTTGGGATTCCTGTGTTGGGGGTGGGATTAACAGTAGTTGGGCTGGTGGTAGATGGAGTGCCAGTGCTGGGGTTCAATGAAGTAGGGACAACAGTTGTTGGGCTGACGGTGCTGGGGCTCAGTGTACTAGGCGACAAGGTACTTGGTGTTCCTGTGCTGGTGGTCACAGTCGTTGGAATCTCAGCTGAAGGACCACTGGTGCTTGGGACCTGGGTTGAGGGAGCAGTGTTGCTTGGGCTCACCGTACTAGGGCTAGCCGTGGTTGGGTTTCCAGTGCTTGGGCTAAATGTTGCAGGTCCTGTCGTACTCGGGACAACCGTTGTGGGGACTCCAGTACTGGGCGACAAGGTAGATGGGGTTCCAGAGCTTGTACTCTCAGTTGAGGGACTACCAGTGCTCGGGCTCTGAGTTGTTGGACCAAGAGTTGCCGGGGACAGTGTGGTGGGCGCAGCGCTGGGTTCTCCCTTGGAAACAGTGGGAGCCAGGGTGCTGGGGCTGGCCGTGATTGGGCTCACCGTGGTGGGCGACAAGGTAATTGGCCCTGCTGTGCTGGGACTCATGCTTGCAGTGGCCTTCTGGGTTGCTTCTTGGGTTGCCTCCTGGGTTTGATCTGGAGTTGCATCAGGAGTCGAATCTGGTGTTGCTGGCTGGGTAGGACTGCTGGTGGTGGGACTACCTGTGGTAGGACCAGCAGTGCTCGGTGATATTGTAGTTTGGCCTGTCGTGCTTGGGCTCAGGGTGCTTGGATTGAGTGTTGTAGGGGCGACTGTACTTGGTGACACGGTTGTAGGGTTTCCAGTGGTGGGGCTAAGAGTGGTAGCAACAAGAGTTGTGGGACCAGGTGTTGTAGGACTGGCAGTGATCGGGGACAGTGTAGTTGGTCCTGCCGTGCTTGGGATCAGGGTGCTTGGATTGAGTGTTGTAGGGGTGCCTGTACTTGGTGACACGGTTGTAGGGTTTCCAGTGGTGGGGCTAAGAGTGGTAGGAACAAGAGTTGTGGGACCAGGTGTTGTAGGACTGGCAGTGATCGGGGACAGTGTAGTTGGTCCTGCCGTGCTTGGGATCAGGGTGCTTGGATTGAGTGTTGTAGGGGCGACTGTACTTGGTGACACGGTTGTAGGGTTTTCCAGTGGTGGGGCTAAGAGTGGTAGAACAAGAGTTGTGGGACCAGGTGTTGTAGGACTGCAGTGATCGGGGACAGTGTAGTTGGTCCTGCCGTGCTTGGGCTCAGGGTGCTTGGATTGAGTGTTGTAGGGGCGACTGTACTTGGTGACACGGTTGTAGGGTTTCCAGTGGTGGGGCTAAGAGTGGTAGGAACAAGAGTTGTGGGACCAGGTGTTGTAGGACTGGCAGTGCTCGGGACAGTGTAGTTGGGCCTGTCGTGCTTGGGCTCAGGGTGCTTGGATTGAGTGTTGTAGGGGTGCCTGTACTTGGTGACACGGTTGTAGGTTTCCAGTGGTGGGGCTAAGGTGGTAGGAACAAGAGTTGTGGGACCAGTGTTAGGATGCAGGTCCGGGGACATGTGGAGTTGGTCCGGTGTCCAGGTGGGATTGAGTGTTGAGAGGGTTGGGATGGTCAGAGTTGTAGGTCTGGTTTCCAGTGGTGGGGCTAAGAGTGGTAGGAACAAGAGTTGTGGGACCAGGTGTTGTAGGACTGGCAGTGCTCGGGGACAGTGTAGTTGGTCCTGCGTGCTTGGGTCAGGGTGCTTGGATTCAGTGTTGTAGGGGTGCCTGTACTTGGTGACACGGTTGTAGGTTTCCAGTGGTGGGGCTAAGAGTGGTAGGAACAAGAGTTGGGGACCAGGTGTTCGGAACTGCAGTGCTCGGGGACAGTGTAGTTGGTCTGCCGTGCTTGGGCTAGGTTGCTTGGATTGAGTGTGTTGTAGGGGTGTGCTGTGTGGTGACACGGTTGTGGTTCCAGTTGGTGATTGTGGTTGGTGGGTTTGG